TACAACTCTCATGATACCATGCAGCAAATCCACAACACTCAGAGGTTTTACTGTGGATTTAATTCAGAGACTAGTGGCAGAACAGTGCAGACAGTGTGTTTAAAGGTATAATATGAACATGTTTTGGTGGGACGGTGACCTAGAGTGTCCCCATTAGTCCTCCGACTTGTCTCTTGGCATGGTGAGGGGATATATCAAGGCAAATGAATGCTTTGTTTTGTTTCAGTCACTTTGACAACACGTCAAACTGAATCGCCCAGGAGAGAGTGAAGCTATCTGAGCGTTCATGCAGAGGAGCATTACCGACACACCTACAGACCAACTAGGACAGACCCACTGATCCATCAACCGACACATCAACCGACCCACTGACCCACTGACCCACTGACGGCACAGACCCACACACCAACTGGGACCCATCAACCGACCCATCAACCGACCCATCAACCGATCCACTCACCCACTGACCCAGCTAGTGGGGAACGTTGTCAAAACTTTGGCTAACATTACCTATAGGTTCTAATAATGTTTGAAAGAAACGTTTTAATCTGATGTTCAAAGAAACTTTTTAGGATGTTTATTATTTCAAATAATATTCCTATAAGGTTTAAGGTTAACTAAGACATAACGTTTTAACTGCAACATTCAGAGGATGTTTTGAGGCCAGAGATGAGAGAACGTTTTTTTATAAAACGTTCCTTTAATGTGGTATGTTAACAAAGGTGGAAGGTTTTGCCTGCAAAATTCTAAGGATGTTTTTTGGACATTGTTGGGGTAACATATTAAAGATGTTCTTTTTAAAACGTTCCCTCGATGTTACATATTAAGTATTATGTTCGTAACCTGAATTTAAATCAGGCTTTGTAATTATTTGAGTGACCGAGATCATGTAAGTGTATTTCAAGTGTACTATGTATTCATTTATTGAGCTACTTAAATCAGGTTTCAAATGGTTTGACTGATGGAGATCACGCAATGTTATTATTTGTTTATTGATTGTTGTGAACCTGTCTGAGGACCACAGATGGAAATTAGCTATTAGCTATAATCTGGCATATTGCATCTCTTCTCTTTGCTGAGATTATTGTTTTTGTATGCATGGTCCTTCTATAAATAAATACAAATAAAATACATGATAACAAATGAAGAAAATGTTTTCAGGATGTTATTGAGGCCTGAGATGACAGAAAGTGTTTTATAAAATGTTCCTTTAATGTGATATGTTAACAAAGGTGGAACGTTTTGCCTGCAACATTCTAGGGATGTTTTTTGGACGTTGTTGGGTAATACATTAAAGATGTTCTTTATAAAACGTTCCCTCAATGTTACCTGAAAACAAATGAAGAACATTCTCCAAGAAATGTTCTGAAAATGTTTTCAGGATGTTATACTTTTTTATTAAACGTTCCTGTGATGGCAAATATTAACACGGTCATGGTCAACGTCAGATTTATTTCTAGAGCGCTTTAAAAAACAAACTTGTTGCATTTGTTTGAAAAGGACGTTTTAAAAAAATCTGATGTCACCATATTTTCCTTTTGAAAAAAACAAATGCGCGTAATTCTTGATAAGCTGGAAGCAGATATTGCATGTTTGCGGTGGCATGTGTGAGTTCCCAGCTAGACATTTTTGTTATCATTCATTGTTCTAGGAATGTTTTCAGCGGGACGTTTTATTTAGGTTCCCAGAATGTTCTTCTGAAAGGGAGGATAACGTTCTTTAAAAACATTCTTAACATTTTTGGTGATAACTTTCTTAAGATGTATGAGTGCATTGAGACAATGAATAGGACGTATACAAATGCATTTGCATGCCAATATTCACTCACATGCACTTATAATCACACTAAGGTATGTAGGCCCACAGTGTTCATAATATAATTTGTGTAAAATATCAGAAAATAATCACACTTTTTTATGACTATAAAGGTTGTGTCTCGTATGTAAGCTATCTGGCCGTGTGTGGTTTGTGAGGGCTGCGTATAAACAGTGTCCGCTGTTTATGCATATTGGATACAAATCGGCCTCTCTGAAGAACCAGCACCTTACCGTGGTAGAGAGGTTTGTGTGCCTGATGGACCTGGGGCTGTGTTTTCTGGAACCTTGTGTTCCTGGTAGGGTCTCCCATGGCAAATTGGTCTCAGGAAAGGGGCCAGACTAAGATTGGTTCAAAAGACCTCATGAAAGAACAACAAAGAAGTGAGGATACCCGGCCCGGAGGAAGCCCGGGGTCCCCTTCTGGAGCCAGGCCCAGAAGGAGGACTCGTCAGCGAGCGTCTGGTGGCCGGGCTTGCCACGGAGCCCGGCCGGGCACACCCGAAAAGGCAACGTGGGCAACACCTCCGCTTCTCCGTCCCGCGGGCCCACCACCTACGGGAAACAGCGATGGGGTCGGGTGCGCTGCCAGAAGGGTGGCAGTGAAAGCAGAGGGTCTCGAAGGACCAGACCCGGGCGACAGAAGCTGGCTTTGGGGACGTGGAACGTCACCTCTCTGGGGGGGAAGGAGCCGGAGCTTGTGCGGGAGGTGGAGCGTTACCAGTTGGATCTGGTTGGGCTCACCTCTACGCACAGCGTCGGCTCTGGAACCTTACTTCTTCTGGATAGGGGTTGGACTCTATTCTTCTCCGGAGTTACTCAAGGTGTGAGGAGCCGGGCGGGTGCGGGGATACTCACAAGTCCCCGGTTAGGTGCTTCATTGTTGGAGTTTACCCCAGTCGCCTCCCTACGCCTGCGGGTTATGGGGGGGAAAACTCTGACTGTTGTGTGTGCTTATGCACCAAACAGCAGTTCAGAGTATACGGCCTTCTTGGAGACCCTGGAAAGAGTCCTGTATGGGGCTCCTGAAGGGGACTCTTTAATCTTGCTGGGAGACTTCAACGCACATGTGGGCAATGATGGAGACACTTGGAGGAGCGTGATTGGGAGGAACGGCCCCCCTGATCTGAACCGGAGGGGTGGTTTGTTACTGGACTTCTGAGCTAGTCATGGATTGGCCATAACAAACACCATGTTCAAACATAAGGATGCTCATAAGTGTACGTGGTACCAGAGCACCCTAGGCAGAAGGTCCATGATCGATTTCGTTATCGTATCATCGGGCCTGAGGCCGTATGTTTTGGACACTCGGGTAAAGAGAGGGACGGAGTTGTCAACTGATCACCATCTGGTGGTGAGTTGGGTCGAGTGGCGGGGGAAGCCTCTGGATAGACCTGGTAAGCCCAAACGTGTAGTTCGGGTGAACTGGGAACGTCTGGAGGAGGCCCAAGTTCAGGAGGCCTTCAACTCACACATCCGGCGGAGCTTTTCGGGCATTCCTGTGGAGGTTGGGGACATTGAACCAGAGTGGTTGGTGTTCAAAGCCTCTATTGCCGAAGCCGCGGCGGGGAGCTGTGGTCTCAAGGTCCTAGGTGCCTCAAGGGGCGGTAACCCTCGAACCTCCTGGTGGACACCGGTGGTCAGGGAAGCTGTCCGACTGAAGAAGGAGGCCTTCAGGGATTTGTTATCCCGGGGGAATCCCAAGGCAGTTGCAAGGTACTGACAGGCCCGAAGGGCAGCAGCCTCAGCCGTGGCCAAGGCAAAGCAGCGGGTGTGGGAGAAGTTCGGAGAAGACATGGAAAAGGACTTAAGGGCGGCACCAAAGTTGTTCTGGAAAACTGTCCGACACCTCAGGAGGGGGAAGCAGGGAACCATTCAAGCTGTGTACAGTAAGGATGGGACGTTGTTGACCTCAACTGATAGAGTGTTAGGGCGTTGGAAGGAACACTTTGAGGAACTCCTGAACCCGACAACTCCGCCCTCTATGTTAGAGGCAGAGCTGGAGTATGACGGGGGATCAACACCAATCTCCCGGGGGGAGGTCACTGAGGTCGTCAAACAACTCTACAGTGGCAAAGCCCTGGGGGTGGATGAGATCCGCCCAGAAATGCTGAAGGCTCTGGGTGTTGAGGGACTGTCATGGTTGACACGTCTCATCAACGTTGCGTGGAAGTCGGAAACAGTACCGAAGGAGTGGCAGACCGGGGTGGTGGTTCCCCTTTTCAAAAAGGGGGATCAGAGGGTGTGTGCCAATTACAGAGGCATCACACTACTCAGCCTCCCCGGGAAAGTTTACTCTAAGGTACTCGAAAGGAGGGTCAGGCCGATTGTCGAACCTCAGATTGAGGAGGAACAATGCGGATTCCCTCCTGGTCGTGGAACGACGGATCAGCTTTTTACTCTCGCAAGGATCCTGGAGGGGGCCTGGGAGTACGCTTATCCGGTCTACATGTGTTTTGTAGACTTGGAGAAGGCGTATGACCGAGTTCCCAGGGAGTTACTGTGGGAGGTGCTGCGGGAGTATTGGGTGAGGGGGTCTCTACTCAGGGCCATCCAATCTCTGTACTCCCAAAGCGAGAGCTGTGTCCGGGTCCTCGGCAGTAAGTCGGACCCATTTCCGTTTAGGGTTGGCCTCCGCCAGGGCTGCGCTTTGTCACCAATCCTATTTGTAATATACATGGATCGGATTTCGAGGCGTAGTCGTGGGGGAGGGGGTCTGCAGTTATCACCAAACATTTTAAGAATGTTTTTAGAGAACGTTATCCTACCTTTCAGAAGAACATTCTGAGAACCAAAGGAAAACTTCCTGCTGAAAACATTCCTAGAACAGTGAATGGTAACATTCTCAGAATGTTTTTAGAACCAAACATTTCAAGCTGGGGACCCACTGGCCCACAGACCAACTGACCTACTGATCCACAGACCAAATGGGACTGTCCTACCGACCAACCAACCAATGCTTCCATCAATGAACCCTCTGACCCATATACCAACTGGGACCCATCAACCGACCCACTGAACCACTGGCCCATAGACCAACTGGGACCGTCCAACCGACCCATCAACCGACCCATTTACCGACCCACTGACCAACAGACCCACAGACCCACAGACCAACAGACACACAGACCCACAGACCAACTGACCCACAGACGCACAGACCGACGTACTGACCCACAGACTAACCTCTTGTAGACAACCTTCAGGTCCCTCCACTCCAGGAAGCTGCACATCTTGGGTTTCCGGGCCAGCACCGTCTGCACCAGCTCGCGGGTGATCTTCTTCTTCTCCTTCTCACACAGAGGAACGTACCACTTCTGCAGCCTCAGCTTCCCCTGCCGGCTGAACAGCAGCATGAACTGCATCTGAGAAAACATGAAGAGAAACACTGAGAAACATCCAGACAGGCACAACGCAGCAAATGTATTCTTTCTAAAATAATCTGTGTTAAAATACATTTGTTTAAGATTTAAAACTATGTCTACGACATCAAAATATATTTACATATTTGAATATTGAAAACCAGACTTGAAAGTCTTAACCTGTTAATCACCGAGCCTTTTTTTCAGGTCTCAGGCTCGAAAATGACATGCCCAGAACAAATGACCTTTTCTTCTTCTTAAAGTAAATTCAGATTGAACACAGTAAAAAAATGTAAATTATTGTGTCCGTCCAAAAAAAAAAATTACTTGAATGATGGGATGGTAGACTAAAAGCTTTAGGAATCCAAACCACAACATATAATAAGTACCCTGTATCAAGATTGATGCAAAACAAGTGAAACTTGACCTTTTTAGAGAGATTTAGCAAAATAAAACCACTTCTGGGGACATTTGGGTGGATTTTCCATATCTCTGGCCCCACTTGGTCGATTTTGATGATTGCAGGGTTGCCAACTCTCACGCATCTGTCGTGTGACACACGCTTTCACTCTCAATCTCACGCTGCCCAAACTATTCTCACGTCAAAAACAAGATGAACCAGCGATCGTTTTTGATTGGTTATTTACAATGTTGAGTTGACAGCTGCTCAAGCTGTCGACCCGCTCCCTCCCCACCCCCACCACTCTGAACAACGTTAACAGACAGCAGAACAGTGGGAGCCGGTTCTAAGATCTAAGATCCAGTAGAAATGATAAAAAAGTAAAAGTCTGCTGCTTATTGTGCTACTAGGCCAAAATAGTGTCAAAGAGTGTATGAGAGTGAGAGTGTGTTAATTAATATATTTGGCATTTTGGAGTAAGTCTGAAGATTTCTCTGTGTCTGTGTGTTTCATGTATAGGCCTCTCACGATAATTAATTTTGTTGGATACATTTTCCCAGAAATGATTGCGATAAACGATAATATTGTCGGCACTGTTGTATGACCATTTTAGACCACTGACATAATGATAATATACAATAATAATTCAAGTACATCCTTTCAAACTGCTAGTCACATCCTCATGTAAATCGCAATTTATCGAGTTCATTTTTATTTATCGTACGATAAGTCATTTAATTGTGAATGAAACCTTGTGCACTTTATAGTCTGTGTCCAATATTGTGTATTTGTATATATTGTATATACATAAAAAAAAGAAAAAATACCCGCCGAAAGTGTCTTTGGGGCTTAACAGGTTAAAATAAATGTATGAAATAAAGACCATGAGACTGTATCCACACACACACACACACACACGCATCACCACCAGATTACAGAGGTCCTGGTAACACCGTTATTCAGCCGTTAGGATAAGCATGCTCTCTCCCGTTTAAATACCACATGAGTCCAAGCTGATTATTAGAAAGAGTGAAAAAAGAAACACTGAAAACCACTTACCTTCTACGGCACAGTGTGTGTGTGAGTGTGTGTGAGTGTTTGCAGGAATGAACTGCCGGCTGAGCAGCACCACTCTGAGACACACACAGACACACACTCATTGGCTAATTTGGTTTACAGTCTCCGCCTTTCTGAACCTACAACTCCATATGGCAATCTGATTGGCTGACACATACTCCAATCAAAGCACAGGGAAACGTCACCAGAAACATGCACTAAAGGGTTAAATAGAAGAAATGAAAACATGCTCTAAAACTGATAATAATTGTGTAAACAACCTGTAATAATAGCATTATTAAAAAGGGTTTCCTCCCTCCGATTCTATCTTTCTCTCTAATAATGTAGTTAACTGTTAGAAAAAATATCACTCGACACCAGGTTGAGAATCAATGATCAGGTAACTAATTTATTCTTGCAAGAAGGAGCAGAGTTAAATCACATACAAATGATATGGGTTAACTCACACACATGGGGTATGTTGCTCAACGGAACAGCAAAAAACATCAGGCTTATATCGTCCGAAACACGGAGATAACAACATAGTCGTAAATCGAGGGGGCGCTAATATCAGCTGCGGGTGTCGGAAAGTCGGGTCATCTGCGATGGGTCATCTGTGACGTCTTCTGGAAAGAGTCACGTACTTCCTTCACGCTTCATAGAAATGAGATATTTAGGAGACAGCAAGTCTGTCTTCTCATAAATATCAACAACCTGAAATGCCCTGCCTCCTCCTATCACAAGAAGAGGCAGCTGCAAGGTCACACACAGTTCAGAGCCACACATGATATCAGTGCATTAAAACAACCCAAAGAGTGGAGAAAACAGTATTTCTCCAACATATCCCTCCTGTTTAAACTACGGAATAACATGGAACTTGGAAAAATACAAATGATTATAAAAGATAAAAAATTCATATACAAAAGTACCCAAACGGCTGAGGTAGGTAGATTGTATAGGCACATGTTTTAATGTAATCTGAATGGATGCCATGGCCTAATTCTTTCTCTGTACATCGTCAGTTTCTATCACTCAGACCCGTTACTGTTTCCCTGCTAACGTCCACTCTTTAAATTCTACTGGGTTCTGTTGGTTTCTTCACTGGTTTGAGACGAGCACCCTTATTGGAATCACCTCCCTTTGTAGCCAGACTTCACCACAGTAGAGAAGAGCTTCTGTCTTTAGGTTTAAACAGCTTCACGGTCAGGTGTACCCAGGATGGTCTCTCTGCCACTCTAACTGCAGTCGGTGTAGACAGGAGTACTTGGTAGGGACCCTCCCACTTGGGCGAGTGCCAGCTCTTCCTCTTTATCGCTCTGGTGACCACTCACTCTCCTGGTGTCAATGTCTGTGTGGAGTCAGGTACTTCCTGTGCAGAGGGGACAAGAGCATAATGATCTCTTTTCTTCTCAACATGTTTGCCATATATTCTGCTGTGTTTTCACTCATACCCTCGTCCTCTCTTACAAATGGTTTTAACTCAGGCAGATAATATGGTCTTCCATATAACATTTCAAAAGGTGACAGCCCTCTAGCACTAGGTAGGATGTGCATGCTTAGCATCACTGGTGCTAAGCATCTCATCCATGTTTTCCCTGTCTCGGCCATCATCTTCTTCAGTTTAGCTTTTAATGTACCATTATTTCTTTCTCTCAACCCTGCTGACTGTGGATGATAAGAACAATGTCGTTTTAGTTGTATTCCAAATACAGCTGTCAAATCCTGAATGACTTTGTTTACAAAGTGTGTGCCATTATCACTATAGATCTTCTCCGGAATTCCAAAACGTGGGATTATGTGATTTGTCAATGCATTTGGATTCCTAGTTGGAACAACTTCAATCCATTTTGAGGACATGTCAATGATTGTTAGACAATATTTCATTCCCTCATATTTATTTATTTCAATACAGTCCATGCAAATGTGCTGAGACGGATACTGGCTCCGGTATTCCACCTCTCTCTGTCCCTGAGGGTTATACTGTGCACACACAGAACATGCTAAACAATTTTTTTTTAGAGTAGTTTGTAAAGCCATAGGCTGTGAATATCTTCTGTATTACTTCCAGCATCCCCACTGTTGAGCCGTGGCCCAACCCATGGCTCAATATAGCTGCATATCGAAATAAGCTATTTGGTAATACAAATGTGCCTTCTGTACTTTCCCACAACCCCTCTTTATTCTGTGTACACAACTTCTTCTTCCAGTATACCTTCTCTCTGTCAAGTGCATTCGCTTGCATGTCTTTTAGGATGTCATGATCAATGTGTTCCATATTTTCTGAAATATATTGGTCATTGTCCTGTCACTGTCTGTGCGCTGCTTGCTTAGCCTCTGCATCTGCCTTTCGGTTCCCTGTGGATATTGGGTCCGTCCCGGTAGTGTGTGCTGCACACTTACAGACCGCCACTCTCTTTGGGAGTTGAACTGCATCCAAAAGTGATAGGATCAAATCTTTATGTGTAATAGGTTTGTTTGTGGATGTTACCATCCCCCTATGTTTCCATTGTTGTGCAAACACATACATGAATAAGCATAGTTGCTGTTTGTATAAATGTTAACTGTCTTCCCTTTTCCCAGCTTGCATGCCTCTGTTAGTGCGATTAGTTCTGCTGCCTGTGCTGATAAGTGAGACGGCAATGCTGCGCCCTTGAGCAGTTTTGTCTGTGTCACTACAGCATAACCTGTTGCATTAGTTCCATCAAGATTCCTCTTACATGAACCGTCAACATACATCGTTATGTCTGCATCTGGGAAGGGAATGTCCGTCAGGTCTGTCCTTGGTAACACTCTGTTCTCAGTTTCTGCGATACAGTCATGTGGCTCCCCATCTATCTCTACTGGCAGTAGTGTAGCTGAATTTAAAGTAGTACATCTCTCGTTAGTACGATTTGGTTGTGATAACAACGTAGCCATGCATGCTAAATGTCTAGCTGGTGACATATAGGTTTGTTTATTTTGTAACAATAGTACGGACACTGCGTGAGTTACTTTTAGAGTCAAGGATCTAAAAAGCACTATTGTTGCAGATGCCTGTACTGCCATGGAGGCTGCTATTACTGCTTGTAAACAAATGGGCATAGCTCGAGCTATGGTGTCCAACTGTGAGGAGTAAAAGGCCACTGGTCTATTTCCCCCCCATGTAGTTGAGTGAGTACTGACGTCATAAATCCATTCTTACAATCTGCTGTTTGAACAAACGGTTTTGCATAATCTGGTTACATCTATTCCCATTACTTTTAAGGAAACAAATGGTTTATCTACGTGAGCCAGAATTAATTCTACTGTACCTAATTCTAAAATCTCCACTCGATGAGCTGATAGGGTTAGTCATATTCCCTGATATATTCATAACTGGCATAACGGGAATTCTGAATGTCTTACCTGACCGTGTGTTGCTGGGTTCCTCCCTCATGCCGGCTGTTCTCTGCGCGGGAGCATGAGGGTCGGTGTGTGGAGGTGGTTGGTGGGTCAGTGGGGGAGCAGAGGGGTGAGACGAGCAGGAGGCCAGGGGTCCGAGGAGATCCCCGGGGTGTTGAGCTTGTGCATGGTTTTCATCTATCCATTGCTCCTGCATCACAGCAGGTCCCACAGGAGGGAGATACGGAGGAGGGGGCTGGCGGCGTCTGCATATCACTTGATCGTCAAGTTTCTCCAGTTTCTCGGAATAGGGGAGATTAGGATACAAGTTATACAAAACCTCATGTTCTGATTTCTTCTTTTCTGATTCTAATTTCTCTTTTTCTGATGTAGCTGTTTCCTCAGCATTTTCCTTTCTCTTCCTTGCTTCGGCTAACCACATCATAGCACCTAATAAATCCTCTTCTTCCTCCCTTTTTCCATTCCCATTACATTTGTTCTCGATGCTATCAGTCAATTGTTGGCATTCCTCTACCACTAACCTCCCTTGGAAGTCGTATTTATTTTGCCACTTTTTAATCTCTTCACACTCATTCTATGCGATCATCCATTTAGCATCTCCTGATAAGATGACTCTGTTTCTGTCTTCTTCCCACGGGTCTTGCTGCAGCATGAACCCATGATTAGACTTCTATAGTTTTCCCCAAAACTAAGTAAAAATGCCCGATAGCTTACGCATAAACTATAAAACTCACAATAGTTTTAGCAAAACTAAGAAAACTAAATTGTCCTAGTTTTCCCCAAAACTAAGAAAATACCCATAGCCGTACTTAGTCACCCACTATAAAATAGCCGTACCTTGTATCCTACTATAAAGTCACACAATAGTTTTAGTAAAACTAAGAAAATGTGCCCTATAGTCCACCCACAAACTATAAGATCCTTTAGTTTTTTAAGAAACAAAAAAAACTGGCCTCATAGTTTGAACCACAAACCATTTAAAAGTACTTTAGATAAGTTTACCTGTGTCTTTCTAGGACTTTTTTGGTATCCTTCCGCGAACCAAGGGGTTGAAACCAAAACGGTGCCTGTATTGACTTTCTCTCCTGTGTCGGTAGTTCAAGGATCCGTCACTCCTCTCCTCTCCAGCGTAACCTGGCCCCCCCATTTACCAAATTATTTCTTTGTAAGGGAAACAAGGTAGGGGTCTTTTTCTAAGAGTCTCTCGACTCCCTGTGCACAGTGTCAGGCTCGTTTGTCCGGAGAAAAAAGGAGATCTTGGATCCGGCTCGAAGGACCAATATGTTAGAAAAATATCACTCGACACCAGGTTGAGAATCAATGATCAGGTAGCTAATTTATTCTTCCAAGAAGGAGCAGAGTTAAATCACATACAGAGGATATGGGTTAACTCACACACATGAGGTATGTTGCTCAACGGAACAGCAAAAAACATCAGGCTTATATAGTCCAAAACACGGAGATAACAACAAAGTCGTAAATCGAGGTGGCGCTAATATCAGCCGCGGGTGTCGGAAAGTCGGGTCATCTGCGATGGGTCAACTGTGATGTCTTCTGGAAAGAGTCACGTACTTCCTTCACGCTTCATAGAAATGAGATATTTAGGAGACAGCAAGTCTGTCTTCTCATAAATATCAACAACGTGAAATGCCCTGCCT